TCCCAGAGTGTGGAGACCACAAAATTAGACCCATCACAGCTGACTCAGCCAGATATTTGGCAATTCAGAAACAAGGTTGAGAGACTGAGAAGGTGAGCACAACTTGAGGCAGTCTCGCTGAACTGAGGAAAAGGGGTCACTGCTTCAAAAGTTGCAGAGCTAACACTAGGCCTTTAGTAGAGATTCTTGAAACCCTGCATTGGAACTCTAAGGGCTAGCCAGGCACTGAGGCTCGACTTCGAATCTGCTCAGACATGTAAAGTTTGAAATTAATTCATCCTAACTTAACTGACCAAACAAAACCAAAACCAAAACTAACCAAACAAAATACCTCTTAATGGAAAAAAAATCACAACATCAAACTAATATTTTCAGAGTACGGTTGGGAGCTCTCAAGAGGTGCTCAAGGAGACCAAAGGCCACTCTCTGAAACTCAGCCTGCAGTTCTGTGTGAGTCCAATTGGTAGTGCTGGGGACCACCAGGGCCACAAATGACAGTGCTCAGGGGCACATGTGCAGGGTATCAAAGCCTGGTCAGGCACAGGCCTGTGCCCTAACTCCTGTATTATCATTCCATCTTTCTTTTAGTTTGGTAAATAATGTCCAGCATTTGATCAGAAATCACTTTGCCTGCAGCAAGTATGACTATGGAATAGAAATCTGAAGGTAAGGAAAAATATATATACTAAAACAGACCTATAGAAAATCTAGAATTGGAGTTAGTCACACATTTTTTAAAAAAATAGTGATATATTCAAGGAACCAGACAAGATATTTACTGGATCTGTAATTAAATCTATGCAAAAGAAATAAATGATGTCCTGAAATTTAAAATTGTACTTAAGAGAAAAGTATAATAATTTGAGGGGAAATATTTTATGCACTCTTCATTTTATTTAATGTTGGTTGTTTAACTACCAACATTTTTGGTAGTTGGGTACGATAACATATTACTGTCAATAATAAGTTTTCAGTTATATAACGATCTAGCACCATACACATTACCATGTATATCACTGTCACTGTACTCCCATTGTTCATCGATTTGCTTGAGTGGGCCCAGTAACATTGTGAGACCTGTTACTGTGTTTGGCATATCGAATATGTCACGGGTAGCTTGCCAGGCTTTGCCGTATATTTTATTAATTTATTTTTAAATTATCATAATATAAGAGTGGTTATTGAAGATCTCCTTTTTGTATTTAACATCAGTTATGAAATTAACTATAGTAAGCAGTTTACTATGTATCAACAAAACCTTGTGACTTAAAACAGAATTTGAAATATTTAGTTGGATAAGTAAAAGCTCTAACACTGGGAAAGATAACTTAATTATTTAAAGGAATTTCTGCCTTAGTATGGTCAGAAAAAACAATGGGACTCAGAAGCTGAAAGCAAACATTGACCACCATGAGTCAATCTGTGTCTGCTCTTATTTTTAGGAGCAGAAATATTTCACTATCTCTACCTCACTGCCAGAGAGATTGTTCTGCGAAGGGCAATGTCTATTCTAATTTACGGATTGCTATTTATCTAGTTTGCAGTGTGAAAAATTATGTTGCTGGAGGAATTATTAGAGATGGAAACTGACAGAACTGAAGGTGATTTGGTGGTTAGTATGGACAGTTGATACATTGATACATTAAGAGAAATTGAATTAGCTAATGGGAAAATAATTTGAAAGTAATAAAAATGAAATTCATCTCCATAAATTTATTCAATGCATTATAATGCTACTCTATAATTTAACCATGTCCCTTATCAGTAGGCTCTGTGTAAATTGGAATTTATTCCCAGTCACATGAAGTTAAATTAAAAAAACACAGGAATTAGCAAATTTGAAGCAAATTATTACAGAAAAAATTTCATTTACCTATTTATAATTTTGATGCTGCAAGTTTAACTTAGGGCAGTTATGAAAAATGAAAGTCTTTATGTTCTTATAGCTTTGTTAGTTCTTACCTAGGAAAATTTCTCCTTACTTTGTGGAATTGCAATTATGTGGTCTGTGAGTCATATAAATATATATATATATATACATATACACAGCTACAGATAAACACCAACATTAACATTTATTTTAAAAAGTAAGGTAGATTTGCATATTATTGTGTATAAACTCACTGAGAAAGAAGGAATTTTAATTTACACTGAGATCACCAAAGATTTTTTAATATTTGTTTTTGTCCTAAACTAGCCCTGTGACATTGTCATGTAACCTCCCTGACTCAGTTTGCTGAGATATCAAAGTCGGTAACATTGTGAGGAATCTATTTCTGTGATCAAGCTACACACATATTAGACACTTGTCAAAGTGCCAACATCTTTATGAAAGCTGGAAACAGAACATGGATACTGTTGAAGAACAGAAAACCATAGCATATGTAAAAGGACAGTGTCAAGGTCTGTACATGTGCAAATTTTAGGCTACTCAAACTAAAATGTTTTTCTAAATGTACCATGAGCATGCACTAGCTCTCACCCACAAATGCAAGGTGACCCTTATTCCCGTAAATTGTAGGAATAGAAATCTACCTCATAGCACAGGGTAGACAGCTGTCAGGAAAAATAAATAACAAAATCTCAATTAATATGTGAGACTTTGTGACTGAGAACTCGGGGACAGGGAACAGAGATCTTCTGCCCGTATCCACCTGTCTCCGGCAACTTAGCAGTCATACCCATAAACCACCTCTGACTAGTGCCAGATAATCTTATAATTGGCCACCATCCAGATTGCATGTCCTTCTCTCCTAGAAGGGATCATAACATGATGCTTGCCATAACCATGCCGCCAGATCATGCACTAGGCTGTTTCACTCAGGGCACCCCAGAGGAGGGCAGATGAGACCCCTCCCCATCCCAAGGGACCCAGTTCTGGCAGCCAAAAACCTCCAGACTTCAACCACTGCCATTCTCACAGCCTCTCTCCACATGCTCAGGCCAAGCCTCACCCATGAGTGAACCTTTTCCTGGACCATATGGCTGCATTTGTGGCCACACCTCACTTCATAGGACACACCCTACCCATATTCCAACAGTACCACACCACATCTGATGATGGGATTCAAAGTAGGCAGCAACCTTGGGTCAGGAATTGGGGTTTGGATGGAAACACCTGAAATATGGTGGTGGGAAGGTGTAAGATTGGTGTTTGAATATTAAATGTAATCAAATATTGTGAACTACTTTATAGCACTGTAGCACTGTCCTCCTGTTGTTCATCAATTTGCTCAAGCGGGCATCAGTAATGTCTCACAACAAATTGTGAGACTTGTTGTTACTGTTTATGGCATATCGAATACATCACGTGGAGCTTGCCAGGCTTTGCTGTGCGGGCGAGATACTCTTGGTAGCTTGTCAGGCTCTCCGAGAGGGGTGGAGGAATTGAACTCGGGTCGGTTGTATGCAAGGCAAATGCCTTACCTGCTGTACTATAGCTCCCCAAAAAAGTAAAAAAAAACTCAATAAAAGTTATAAAAATAAATAGGTGACAAAAGCTGCTTTCTAACTAGGATAGAAAAAAGACATGATGACAAATCAGGAAGAGAAAATGACTTTTTTAGAAATTTCAGTTGAAAGGTACTGATGGACAGACAGCAGGAATCTCTCCTAGCAGGCTCGGAGGAACCATATAGGGTGCTGGGGATAGAACCTAGGTCTGCCACATGCAAGGCAACCACCTGCCCACTGTATTATCACTTCAGCCTGCGTTCTTAGAATTTCATATAGTTTTTTGAATGCAGATTTTACATTGTAGAATAGATCTTAATTATTTTGTCAATAGAGTTTAATCTAAGTGAAATATTATTATAATTTACATACCTTTTTTCTTGCTTTTTGGGTCACACCCAGTGATAGTCCGGGCTTACTCCTGAATCTGCACTCAGGAATTACTTCTGGCGGTGCTAGGGGGACTATATGGGATGCCAGGAATTGAACCTGGACAAATTCCTGGCAGAGTGCAAGGCACATGCTCTACCTGCTGTACTATCGCTCTGGCCCTAATTTACACATTCTTTAAGGCTATATAATCTTTTAAAAAATTCAGCCAGAGCTGGAGCGATAGTACAGTGGGTAGGGCATTTGCTTTGTACATAGCTGACCCAGGTTCAATCCCCAGAATCCCATACGGTTCCCTAAACATTGCCAGGAGTAATTTCTCAGTGCCGAGCCAGGAGTAACCCCTGAGCATTGAGTGGGTGTGACCCCCAAAGCAAAAATAAATAAATCAATAAAATTTAAAAACAATTAAAAAATTCTTAGTCAATTCACTAAAATGGAACAGAAAATAAGTTGAAATTACTTAGTCCTTTCTTTTCTTTTTTTTTTTTTTGCTTCTTGGGTCACACCCATCATGCACAGGGGTTACTCCTGGCTCATGCACTCAGGAATTACCCTTGGCAGTGCTCAGGGGACCATATGGGAGGCTGGGAATCGAACTTGGGTCGATAAAACACCCTACCTGCTGTGCTATTGCTCCATGCCCCCTTAGTCCTTTCTTTAAATTAGATCTCTCATGTATCTTTTGTGTCAGCTTACAATAAACATAATGGTCAAATGAATTGTGTCTTCAGGTGTCCTGAACTGTTCTCAGTATTGGGTCAGTAAGCCATACAAACTTTCATGTTCACTGTTACTTTTGGAAATAGAACTTTAAAAAGTCACAGAAACTTTGTAATAACACAAAGTATATAATTATAAATAATCAGATGAACAAGAAATACCTCCATGTTGAAGATATAATATTTTCTTTCAGAAAATTTCATAATATGAATATCAGAGTAGGACCACACTTACTTTTTCACAGAATTTTGAGTTTCAGCGCCAACAAAATCATAATACAAAATAAAACCAAGGAATGAAAAATTAGTATTACCTGGAAGAGTTTTAATTTTTTTCATACAAATAAGCAAAACCTAAGAACATGATATGTCTCTTGACACCTGGAGGAATGATCATTGTCAAGGGGGAAAGGAAATTATTCATGTATTACTTACTTCTTTGTATCCAAAGATGATGCGACCATCCATGAGGAGGGTTGCCTGGAATGTGAAACTTCCTAGGTTGTAATTATCCTGGAGATGGACATGGTCCCACTGGACAACAAGTGCTGTGCCTACAAACCCCATCAGAATAGAAAAAAAAAGTATCAATTAATTTTGGTGGGTCTCCATCAAAACAAAGTTTTAGTTTTCCAACCTAGTAGCTGAGGTGCTTGAATTTTATATGCCACTCTGAATTCTGGTACTGAAACAGCATTTGGGATACTGAAATAGCATTTAGGGCATTTCAAACAATGAATATTCTCTAAATATTTGGTAAAACCTAACCTCATGTGTGACTCTAATATTGAGCCCCAGTATGGGGGCACTTTGCCTTAGGAAGTCCATTAAAGTTAATGGGTTCTGTCTGCTTAAATTTCCATGAGTCACTTTGAAAGTGCAACCCTAGTGTATTGAATAAACTTCAAATACATTTGACAAATACTGTGTGAGAATGGAACACATCCAGGAAAGCTAGAATCACTTGTAAAAGACTTGAAAATATGTCTTCCATGTTTATAGAGTCATATGCTCCCATGCTGAAGAAATTCCTAGCACTAATGGGAATTTTCTTCCCTGATTCTCAAAGCCTGCATTTCTGTCTTTGTTGCAGTGCTTTGAGGAGGCTGCAAGGTAGCTTAAAGGGCCCCGGGCTAAGTTTCCTGAAGACTCCTTGAAGTGCACTTGAATGAAAAATTTCAATGCTGTACATTATATTCTGATGAGTCAATCTGCCAGCATTTACTATGAAACTATTAACAGAAAGCATCAATTGAGACATACTTCAATAACTACCAACAAAAATTCACTTCTTTGCTTTATTCAACATTGTTATGAAAACAAAAGAACAGCTTAAAACATCTGCTCTAATGATTGCCCTTTTTTCCCCCTATTTTAAAAAAATTTTTATTAGTGAGACACCATGAGGTACAGTTGTAGACTTACAAATTTTGTGCTTGGGTTTCAATTATACAATGATCAAATACCCATCCCTCCACCAGTGCCCATTTCCCACCACCACAGATCCCAGTATCCCTCCCACCCCCCATTCCCCCCATCCCACCCTGCCTCTGTGGCAGGGCATTCCCCTTTGTTCTCTCTCTCCTTTTGGGTGTTGTGGTTTGCAAAAGAGGCATTGAGTGGCAATCATGTTTGGTCTATAGTCTACTTTCAGCATGCTTCTCCCATCCTGGGAGAATCCTCCCAACATCCTTTATTTGGTGCTCCCTTCTCTATCTAAGCTCCCTTTTCCCCAAGCATGTGTGGCTGGCCTCCAAGCCATGGAGCAAAATTCCTGGTACTAATCTCGGCCACTCTTGGGTGTTCGTCTCCTATTTTGTTACTTTATGTTTCCCAGATGAATGCAATCTTTCTGTGTCTATCCCGCTCTTTCTGACTCATTTCGCTTAACATGATACTTTCCATGTAGTACCACTTGTATGTAAATTTCATGACCTAATCTTTTCTAACCGCTACATAGTACTCCATTGTGTAAATATACCAAGATTGCCCCTTTTTTGTTTGTTTAACTACTGTCAAAAAAGCAATGTGAAAATAAAGATCATAGAATTAAAATCAACAAACTTTGGGCAGAAAACAATACCTAGTTGAGAAATTTATACATATTAAGTGACTGAGAAAATGCCCAGAGAGCAGCAGCATACATCTCTGGGCTGACTGGGTTCCTTCCTGGAGCCCAAGAGAAGAGTGGAGTGGGCTCTGCCTCCACCTTCCTCTGGCTCACTCTTTATGTGCACACACACACACCACATACAACACATGTGTGCATGCCCCTGACACAAGTCTCAAAGGGTGGCGGTGGACAAAGCAGCAAATGTTATGCAGGTTTCTCTCCATGAGTGCTTACTCCCAGCACCCAAGCAGAAGGCGAGTGTCAATAGCCACTTCCCGTTCTTGCTCTAGAGAAGGGGATACTGTATACTATCCAGCTGCTGCACTATGGCCTGGATTCTGATTAGCATTCAATACGCTGCTGATTGCTCTCCTCCCTGCGCACCTCCCCTGCTCCCTCTAACGATAAAGCCAACCCTGTATTTACATGGAGGAAGTGTCCACCATCGAATGCCCTACTTTTATGCTGACATTTAAGGTACAAGCACACAAATCACCTTGCTCAAGGAACCAACAAAGTTGGCAATTACATAAGTGAACAAAGAAGCAATTGCTAAAAGGGTGAGGGTGCAGCCCCTGCAGATAGAGCCCCAGCTCAGTGCAGAGACAAAGGGCAAAAGGCGGTCTGCTGTCTGCTAGTTTATCTCTGGAAGTATGTGATATAGTGTGCAGGCATATAGGGAATTCCTCAGAATGTATATTGGGAAAGACACTATCTGGAACCTAAACCAGTCCGAAGGCCTTTGAGACATCCATGAGGAAAAGGTGCACATTTCTCCACAACTCTGTGTGAGATGTTTTTCTTTCTTACCTAAGGGTCTCTTTCTCTCGGCCCCCACCTTATTTCCCAAATAAACTTATTTTATATTTCACAATTAGTTTCCTGAAATTCTTACACCATTTCCAGGTAGAACAAGTGGGATCCAGATATGGTTTGTTGACAATCTTCTGGGTCTATATAGTCACTTCCCAGGCATTTTCTGGGGTCACAGAGGAGGGTAGAGAGAGAAGCAGTAGACTCCCTTCTCAAGGCTCTCATCTCTCCCATATCAATGAAACCAACAGGGAAGCTTACTCTGTCTCTGCTGCATGTCACTTTTCCCAACAACTATGGAATACATTCCTGGCTTTGACTTGGATGACAAAGGTTTGAGAGAAAGTCAGAAGGCTCAAGATGGGCTTAATGATGAGGTCTATGTCCCACAGAAAAAAAACTGACTAGAAAAGAAGGCTACTCTAACGGACAGAAATCAATGGAGTAGAGTAAAATGAGGAAAAAAGGGAGTGTATTCCAAGAAAATAGCAAGATTAAATCTTCAGAAAGAAATTGTTATGAAATAGAGCAAAAATCTAAGAATGACAATGATGAAATGAAAAAAAACACGGAAAATATAGAAAAGTGCTAAACAGAGACCACAGGTTTTGAGAATGTAACAACTACAAAAAAATTTTGAGATAAGGTGTCAAGAACAAACTAGGTCAAGTAAAATACTCAATAGCTTGAAGATACGGCATTAGAACTCATCAAGAGGTATAAAAACTGAAAAATAATATACTTATTCTTTTGTGTACAAAAAAGAGGGCTAATAGATTAAGTTTAGCAGCAGGCTTTCAAAAACAAGAAGCTTTCAAAATGTTGTAGATTCTATAGTAGCATGTTTTCCACATTTGTTGATCTAAAGTACTCTAGACACTACACAAAAATTATTTGAGTTTAAGTGTTATTGTAGCACTGAGGCACTACCCCCCCACATTGTTCATCGATTTGCTCGAGGGGGCCCAGTAACATCTCCATTATGAGACTTATTGTTACTGTGTCTGGCATATTGAAAATGTATTAAATTTTAAAAAATAGACTTTTTAAGAAAGGTTTTATGAAACACTATATTTTATGCTTCCTCTTTTAGTGAAAGCTGCTGAAATCTAAAAATTAATGGTATCCAGAAGTGGGAAAGGGCTTTTAGAGGTAAAGTGTTTATTTTAATAGGAATTGTCTAGATTTTTTTCTATTCTATAGCCCCTTGTTCTCTAATTCTATGAAGTTGTAATTTAAGAAATTAAATAAAGGGTTGGAGCAATAGCACAGTGGGTAGGGCGTTTTCCTTGCATGTGGCCAACCCAGGTTCAATTCCCAGCATCCCATATGGTCCCCTGAGCACCGCCAGGAGTAATTCCTGAGTAAATAGCCAGGAGTAACCCCTGTGCATCGCCAGGTGTGACCCAAAAAGGAAAAAAAATTAAGTAAGTTGACAGTAGGCAAAAAGGCATTTTTCTCTTGGCTATTCACAGTAGGAGAATATGTTAGTAGAGGAAACTGTGAACTAATGAACAGAATTTATAACTCTAAACAGCTGGTTTAGAGATGTTCACCTGGCTCATTGTTGACAATTTTATGTAGTTTCTCATGTTGACTACAACATCCTACCTCCAGTCCCACCATGCAATGCTACCTCCAGTCCTAGCTGAACTTTTTACATAAGTTCATATATCTGACGACATGAAATGCTACCCCACACTATATGATTATAGCAACGAGCATCCCATATTGTTTGTCACACTATAAAACAATCTGATCAGTAATGGACACCAACTATTCATTTAAAACAATACATAACACAACAAAACAAGACATAAAAATAGAACAACTCAGACTGTAGTATGATGGAGTACCATTTAAGGTCACAATCACCTCCATTATTTCTGATTCTAAGTTTGACTCAACTTCTGGTCATTTATAGTCATTATGCTTTATAATTTGCAATTTATGAAGCATGAAATACTTTTTTCTAGAAAAGAGTTTTATTTTTATAACTTCTATTCTTTTGTATTAATATTCTGTGACTCACTTAAGACTTCAGTAATCATCCAGGCTAACACAAGCACCATCTCATTTATAAAATCTAGTGTTTTAGTGCTTATAAAAATATTATCTGAGGAAAAGATTTGTTTTTGTTGTTGTTTTGCTTTAGAGGCTACACCAAGCAGTGCTCAGGGCTTACTCCTGGCATTGCACACAGGGATCATGCCTGGAGGTGATCAGGGAACATACTGGTACTTGAGGGACCAAGATTGGGTACTGGGGATTGAACCTGGTAGGCAATGTGTAAGGCAAATACCCTAATTACCATACTATTGGTCTGGGCCCAGAAGATATTTTTTAAGTGAATATTTATTTATTTTTTAAACATTTCTTCTTCTTTTTAAAAAATAGAATTACTGTGAGACATACAGTTACAGTGTTGCTCATGACTGGGTTTCAGTCATACAATGTTCCAAAACCTGGCCCTTTACCAGTATACATTTCCCACCACTAATGTTCCCAGTTTCCCTCCTCTGCAGCCTGTCTCAATGGAAGGCACTTTTCATCTAATCTCTCTTCCCTTTTGGGCATTATGGTTTGCATAACAGATACTTAAAGGTTATTATGTTTCTTCCTTTACCTACTTTCAACATTCAGTTCTTGTCCAGAGTGACCATTTCCAACTAACAAGAAATTTTCCAAACTGCTACTCTCTTCTCTACAAAAATTTTGTTTTCCAAAATTGATGACTTTCCTACCCTTAAGTACTAGTTTATTGTTCCTAGTCAAGCTGACACTATTTCAGTAAGTTATTATGGTAAAAAGGAATATGTAGAGCCTTAAAATATTAAAAAGTGCTTCACTTTATTAAGAAACATAGGCAGTTACTAAAAAACATTGGCAGTTACTCTTTCACTATACTATAACAGAAATTCAATATTTGCATTGTTTAAGTCACTGTGACACACTTAAATAAGTAAAATAATTTTTGAGTATCTGTACTTCTGAAGAAAAATGATTTCTCATAAAAATAAGATTAATGCTGATAATCTTATTTTTAAAGATCTTGAACTCTACTGGGAGAAATGCCTTTTTCTGAATTATTCAAATAAAAGTAACAAGATCTACAAGTGAGTAGAGTAGATGGGGAAAACATTTATTGTGTATTATAATTTAAATGCTAATAATCTAAGCACTTGTCCATCGAATCATTTGCCTGTTGGTGAATAATCCTGACATCAATTACTAAGTGACAAAGCTTGTTAAATAGCTCTCCTTAAATCACTTCCTATTTACTTAAGGTAGATACCTACATTGGTAATATCTTCAAGGTCATTTTATACTGTAGCATTGTTTCTATTATGGTTATTATCTACTTTACACCATTGGGTGTTATCTCAAAAATTTTAAGTGTGAGGAACAGAGCCTTAAGATTCTCAAAAAATAGTGGAATGATTATTATGGGTCACATTCAGTTAGTATTGTTTAACATTTATTTCTCAGAGTGTTTATGTTTAGTTTTCTTCTTTCTTCACTATTTTGAAGAACAAAATATCTTCACGACATTATTTACATTGGTTTTAGCAAACTGATTATTTCAACCCCCAAGATATTTCCCCTGCTAACTCTAAATTTTTTATTAGATCAATGAAAGCAGAAATAACCTAGTTCATGTGGATTGATTTGAAAGATAAAATTTTCAGCCAAGAAAATAAAATTTTGTATTATAAAATAAATACAAGAGTAAATATAATTGTGAGCCTAAGGAATAATACAGCAGGTAAGGTGCTTGCCTTGCAAGAGGCCTACCCAGGTTTGATACCTGGCATCTCATATGTTCCCTGGAATATTGTTATGAGAACAGAAATTATTTTTAATTAATTTTTCAATTCAACTCTTTTTTCTCCTATAATTTATCTTTCTACCAGAATTAGCATTTTCAGTAGATACAAAATAATTCATTTATATCTTCTTTAAATTTTATATATAAATTTAAATCAGTTAGTAACATATCTTGACATTAGTCTATTTTATTTGTTCCCTGAAAATAGTAGGGATAGGTTGTTGTCAGTATACTTAATAAATCGTATCAAGCTTGTATTCATATTTTAAAACCAGAGAAAATGTAATAAGTATATTTTAACTACTCACTGCACTAGATCTTTAAAAGTTGTGTTCACCTTAATATAACTAGAGTTTAAAAATTTTAGAAATTAAATTTCTATATATGAGGCAAACTGACCTGCTGAGAGATCAGAACTAACAAATTATCTTTTTTTTTTAACATTAAGGACTTCCTACAAGTAGAACCAAAATATATGTTTTCCCGCCAAGATGTCATTTAGATAAATTCATTTCATATACCACCTAATGAATGTTAATAACGTCTGCTAAATAAAGTATATAAATGAACATATATTTCATGTATTAATGATTCAATTATATAAATGCTGGCTATCTCAAGCCATTTTTATCCACAGCTTACAAATCCAATAAAAAATATAGGAAGCGAAAATATTGCTTTGAACCAGAAAACTGATCTTTAAAAATATACATTGGGAAAAACAAATAGGCAAACCCAATCAATACATACCATTATCAAAATACCTGACCGTTGAATTTCTCGACACACTGGGATCGAAGTTTGCCATTAAAGGTGCTATATATTGTGTGGCTGTGAGCATTCGATGTACAACTTCTCCAGTGTATATAAAACCTATATTAGAAAAATAGGAACTATTTTAATTAAAAACACAAATAGCTATTAAATAAACTACCTCTATTATAGTCATATAGTGAAAACAAAATATAGTAACTAAAGAAAAAAGAAAGATAATGACTGATCAACAGTAGCTACATCTATATTAAAAAACATGTTCTCCTATGATTTGATTAACACCTTTCAGCCTGCTAAATCAGAAATCTATAGTATGTATAGTTTTAGTTGTGGGTAGGGTGATTATATTTGCAAGCGATTATAAAGCTAAAATTAATAATATACTGTAAGTTATACAGTCAATTTTCTATCATTAATTTCTTGTTATATTAACACTAGCTGAACATGTAAGGCATTTTTTACAAATGAAAGTATTTTCATCCTGCTTAATTGCACTTTCTTAAACCCCAATTTCAGCCGTAGGCCATTTTAGAAGACGCAGATACATATGATTAATGTTTTGAGCCTTTTGTTCAAAGTTAAAATGAAACTAAACATATGAAAACCTTGCACAATTTTCAGATTGCTCATCTTTATAATAATATTACCTTCTCAAGAAGAAAATGTATGTATGTTTGTAGGTCACTGTCACTGTCCTCCCATTGTTCATCGATTTGCTCAAGTGGGCCCAGTAACATTGTGAGACTTGCTACTGTGTTTGGCATATCGAATATGTCACGGGTAGCTTGCCAGGCTTTGCTGCGCGGGTGAGATACTCTCAGTAGCTTGCTGGGCTCTCTGAGAGGAGTGGAGGAATCAAACTCGGGTTGGCCGTGTCGGCCGCATGCAAGGCAAATGCCCTACCCGCTGTGCTTGTAGATAATATAATAAAAGATAACTGGTAATACACAAATGCCTGTATAGAGAATTTTCAATGCCAGACTAAGATGGAATTTACTATGGAGAAATTCATTTTGAGTTAACTTTCAGTTGCTCCTAAATTACAACCTTACTCACGTTCAATTATTCACACTGGATTTATTTACTCTATGGATTATCCATGAAAAATTGTTAATCCTACTCTGGCTTTTTGCCTCCCAGGTCTTTAGCTGCTGAAAAGGAGAGCTAGCTTAGGGAATTCTAAGTAGTTTTAACTTGAAAATTTCACAATTGAGATAATATATGCAAATATATTATTATTACTCTATTACCACTGTGACTACATTGAGAAATGTGGAAAATAGCCCAAGGATGCATAAACCCTGCCACTCTACAAAATAAATTTAATTTTAATGATCCAGAGATTATTTATTTTCCTTAGCTATGTTATAAATCAACCTCTATCAATATCTCCTGGTAGTTTTTAGTGACCAACAAGTATAATGCTTACCTGAATGGTGTGTTTTAATTACATTCAGCTTACATTTGGAAATAAAAAAACTCAAGGTCTCCCAAAGTCTCCCAAGAGACTTTGGTTAGTCCCCTAGATAACAAAATCCCACTGTATCTTGGTCTTTTACTGTGTACCTAAGCCATTTTGAGCATATTCGGTTCTAGAGAAGACAATATTTATTTTTTGTAGTCCTCTATAGTTTTAGATTAATTTAAGCAATATATATTTATTTTCCTTAAAAAATGATTTGTAGGGTCAAAGAGACAGTAAAGAAGGTGAAATTCTGGCTTTGCATGTGGTTGACCCAGGTTCAATCCCCAGTGCTGCAAATAGTCCTGAACCCTGCCAGGAGTGCTCTCTTAGCAGAGAGACACAAGTAAACCCTGAGCATGGCTGGTGTGACCCAGAAGCCCAAACCCCAAAATCTGATTTATAGTCATTTGGAAGGCAAATTTAAACTAGTGTACTTTGTCCTTCTTATTTAAATGAGTTTGGGGGAGAAACCAATGGATTATTTTTGTGAAAATATCAATACCTCTGTTTTCCAGTCATATTAGACGCAAGTTCTACTACTTTAATTAAAGGTAAACTTTATAGGTAGCCTTAAATTCTATTTTTCTACTGCAATTCTCCAAACAAGATTTAATTTGGTTAGTGGATGTCCCAAAATCTGGCAAATCACTTTATGGCAGAATTAGGTGACTTCCTAGCTGTGAGTTTAAGTGATTTGAGCTCTCTGGGCCTCTGTTCCCTTATCTGTTAGATGGAGGTGGAATGGCATCATTCTCATGGTGGAGCAATGATGGTTGAATGGACCCAAACACCACTAACCTGACTACAAGACAACAGCTAATCAACAGGTTCAAGATCCAAATTCTACACTGATAAACGTTTCCATACATTCTGATGGAAAAAAGAACCACGTAAACACGCCAACCTCCTCTGAGTCGCAGATGGGTGTTTTACTTAATTGAAAGTATCAGAGTAATGAAGAAAATATAGAAAGGCTGTAATTGTCTGCGAAGCATCTTGAGAATCCAATACGCCAAGGGCCACAACAAAATATTCTTCATCATCTTTCATTGGTTATTTCTGACTTCAAAGGAAAGGCTGAAGTTGAAGGGTTTGCCTGGAGGGTACAGGGGATTTTATCTGCTGCTTTTCAACTAGAAATGACATTGGGCAGAGGGATGTGGAGGACAATTCCTCTTTAACCTTCCACATGTTCTGCTCTGATTCTCAGCCTAGGAATCTGGGTTATTTAACTGGGTATGGTCTGTGTTGGTTGTGTCAGTTGCTCAAGTTTTATGGTACAAGCTTGAAGCCAAGCTCGTATTGTTCAAACATGACCCAACTTACATTTCATACAAATGTCCTGTGAACAATCTCACATGCTGTAAACTGCCTCTTTTCAAACAGGTATAATCCAGTTCACCTCTTAAACCACTCTGAGATTTGAAAGCTGTGGTAAGTTTTGGAATCTGGGGATGTAACTGTCTGCCAGCTGTGACCACACAAGGAAGGTTTCATGAAACACAGTTGAACCATATTGTGTAATTCTGTGTATTCTATAGAGGTACAGAGAGTGTGTCTATCACATGTGGAATATAAACACATGGTCTGAATTGATCAGATATATGCATTTTTATCCACAATGAGACAAAATGTAATTTTAAAAAAATCCTGATTTGAGTTCTTTGTCCTTTGATCGCATCACTTACTGTGAGTGTCAATTTCCTTTGTAAAATCAGACTAACTAAAGTCGGTGGGGAGGAGAGTGTTGTATGCGTTTATCAATGAACAGGTCCAGGCAATGGGGCTGCAGCTCAGCTGCCCAATACGTGCGCTAGTCCCAGCCTGCACTGCGTGCTGACAGCCGACCTGCTGAGTTCCTGGTGGCAACTCCACGGGTGCAGCCTGCGCTTGATCTTTGCAGTCCTCTGGCCATGCTCACACTCGTGTGATGTTTCTAAAGTCCCTGCGACATGTGTTCTTCCTTTTACAACTTCAGCCCTGTGACTGAGCTGTGCTTTTCTCAGATGTTTTCGTAGTTTGGTTCTTCTTAAGGTGAGGAGTGTTCAAGTGAAAGGGGCAAAGCAAACATAAGAGAGTGACCCAACTGTACGTGGGTGATCTTTGGACATGCCCTACATTTGTTTTGTTTTGTTTATTGTTCTACGTGGGTTTTTTCTTTTTTAAAATTTTTAATGAATCACCATGAGGCACAGTTACAGACTTACAAACTTTCGTGCTTACATTTCCCATGCCTCCACCAGTGCCCATTCTCCACCACCAATGTTCCCAGTATCCCTCCCACCAGCTTCACCCCATCCCCCACTCCCTACCTCTGTGGCCGGCACATTCCCTTTTACTCTCTCTCTCCTTTTGGGTGTTACGGTTTGTGCCCTACATTTTGAATAGTCAAAATGTTATATACCAAAAATGAAAGTCTCTCTACTTGATAAAAGGGAACTGATATTATGTTGTATTTGTTTACAGATGTGTATGTCTATACGTATGTGTATATATACCCATATATATAGTAATATATACCCATATATACTATATATACCTAATATAATAGTGATGTATGCATCCACAAGTATAAACATAAATGGGAATATGTACAAATATATGTATAAACACATATTAGTGTATATAATGTATACAGAGTTGACAGAGTATTGAGAGTACATACTTTGTAAATGATAGCAGTACACAAAATGGGTATATTAAAATATAAAGCAATGTGAAAGCCATTCTGTGCTCTTTCTTTAAAGTGCTGAAAGTTAATTAGAATAAATATTGTTCCAATGCATTGGTACACAGACTCTCTTATATTCATCTTAGATACTATCATTAATTAGCATGAGCCTTTTCTTTGACAGATTCATAATGCAAGTGTTACACATTCTATATGAAAAAATCTTAAGGCTCTTTTTTAAAATTTATTGGGGGTGGGTGGCCACATCTGCCTGTTTCCAAGGCTTACTCCCACCTCTGTGCTCAGTAATCACTCCTGGTACTCAGGGAACCTTATGAAATGCCTGATAAAATAAGTCATGTGCCCTACCTACTGTACTCTGGCCCCGAATATTTATGTTTTTAATCAAACACTAACAAGACATTTTTTCTTGACCAAAGGAGTTACCCCAATAATTATTTAGATTCCTAACTTTTTTAAATTAAAGAACCATGATTAAAAAAAAAACTACAAATCTAAAGTTCTTCTGACATTTGCTCTCTGCTTCAAAGATGCTGTGTTCCATTCATTTATTATTGGTGTATCATATTTAATATATATCATATTTAATTGGTATATCATATTTAATGATATACTGATATTAATGATATCGGTATATCATATTATTGGTATATCATATTTATCTTATCACTATACCATTATTAGCTAAACCAGAAGAATCTTGAGAATATTTGTATTGTCTTTCATTTGTTTGGTACTGCACATGGTGGTGTTATAAAAACATTTGGATGCATACTCTGGTTCACATCCACAAAGTTTTTCTAAAATCCTACAGAGCCTAGTATACAGTTGTCTATCCCTTGCATAAATATGTGTAAATCCTAAATCTGAGTTCCAAGATCACAGGGCATTGGCAAGGTCACTAGAAATAGATAAGACTGAATTGTTTTCCAAGGAGTTACA